TTCCATAAAATTTTCATCACCCCAAAGGGAAACCCTATTCCCATTAAGCAGGCGCTTCCCTCTCCCCCGACAACCCCTGACCTTCTTTCTCTCTGCATAGATTTGTCTATTCCAGATATTTAATATAAATGTAATCACATGCGGCCTTCGTGTCTGGCTTCTTTCATTTAGTATAATGTCTTTAGAGTTTATCTACGTGGCAGCATGTGTCAGAATTTCCTTCCTTTTCAAGGCTGAATAATATTCCACTGTATGGATATACCACTTATTGTTCATTTACTTACCGATTGATGGGAATTTGGTTTTTTAACACTCTTGGCAACTGTGAGTAGGGGCCAGGTCCGCGTGTGGTCCCCTTTCTCTTCACACCGCGCTGCCTCTCCCACACGCCTATCAGTTCTGCCCACGTGCTGCCAGGTCACCCACTTTGAGAGAGCTCTCAGCTCTCCTCCAGCTGACTTGCTTCTGTTCCTCCACATCCCCAAGCTGCCCTTGTGGTTTCTTAGTTAAGCCTTCTCTATTACATCTTTTTAAGTCCGTTCTGTTTTTAGGTCTTATTCCTGGAGTTTAATGAATGCGTAAGCCTCTCCTTCTAGCTCTGTCGACCGCTAAACCTTCAGTCCTCAGAGGAGAGCTTTCCTCACCCCCGTACGTGTCCATCTTCAACGATAGTGCTGTTTCTCCTGTCTAGGCAGTAAAATCCTTCCATTCCCATACTTCTGTCCAAACTAATGACGCTGAGATTCCTTGTTATCTTTGTCAGCACATGGGACGTTAACTTCACGCATTCATGTAAGCTTCCTGCCTTTATTCAACAAATATAGAATACCTACTACATTCCAGGCCCTGGGAGCTTGTAACTGGTGTGTTTTAAACGCGCTCACTGCTCTTCATAGCTTACAGTCCAGACGGACAGTAAGCAGGCGGGTATACAATAAGTAATTACAGAGGGAGAAGAGAACTATGTAGGAGAGGGGCAGAGTTCAAGGTGTGTGAGTCCGGTGGTCGGTGGTACAGTCAGGGAAAGTCAGTGACATGAGCCCTGAAAATCAAATGATAAGAAACAGTGAGCTCTGCAAAGAACTGGCAGAAGATTGTTTTAAGCAGAGAAAAAACATAGGTAGGGGAAGATGAACATTTTAGGAGGCCCTAAGCATGAAATAGAACACGCTGTCAATTAATGTGGGAGATATTGAATATGACGTTTTTAGGAAACTTTGACTCTACTTTTGATTATTGTAATACTTTTTATTAAATAAAATATGATGGCGCCTTGTTAACACCAACTATGTACTCGGCGCTGCGCATGTGTCTTCATAGCATTCTGAGCGGACAGGCACTCTTCACCTGATTTCGCAGAGGAGGAAGCAGCTTGGAGAGGGTAAGGAATGTGGTCCGGGCGATAGAGCAGGAAGAAGGGGAGTTCTCCCTCTCAGGTCTGTGTGGCCGAAGCCTGTGCCATCCCCGGTGACCCCAGAGTTGTCCCGCCCGCCTGAGTGTTTGCGATTTTTGCATCATCACTGCATTTTCTAATGTTCACAATATTTTAAAATGTATAAAATCGTTATCTGACGAAATGAGCGAGGTGAAATCTGGCTCTTTCGTTTGTTCAGAAAGTCGAGGAGAATAATCGCCCCCCACTCCTGGGGTCAGTGCCGTGGACGGAAGGCCTTGCTTACTCAGCAGGATGTGATGTCACAGGGAGAAGCACAGCCAGTGCAGGGGAGATGGCATCAGGGCCGCCGCAGAACAGCTGCAGGGGTGGGGAGCAGCCATGAAAGTGGGGGCTGGTGGTTGCAGGCTCCAAGTACAGCGGATGCAGCATTCCTGGCTATTCAAGTCAGTCATGGGGGCTTAAAATAAAATATTCACTAAAGAACATGGCAAGCTGTTTTTTGCAAACCTCTGATGTTTGAGACCCCAGATATTTTTGGGTTCAGGGCAATCAATGCCAAATGTACTCATGGGTCTAAAAATGAAATTGCTGGTATATTGAATTTCCTTTGGTCTGGGGATTAATTCAAGCCTAATTTTTGAAGACCTGTTTAGCATGGACATTTTAAACTCTCTTCATTTAAAATGGTCCCGTAAGTATGAATTTATATTTGTGAATTAATTTGCAAACTTAATGTTTTTGAAAATCACAGGAGTTAGTATGTTTAATGTCTTTATTTTCAAGGTATATGGATACCTCGTTAATTGATGTTGATGTGCAACCAACTTACGTGCGAGTAACGGTCAAAGGAAAGGTGAGTAGAACCCTGTAGACTGTTCTCATTTCGAAAGCCGAGCCTCGGACGAAGGTAGGTTGCCTGAAGTTTCGTTTTGTTTTGTTTAGCTATATTATGATAGAAAAAGAGAAACTCAATCAGAGAACTTTTTTTTAAGCACACGGGAGTGGTACTCAGCAGTAAAAAAATAGTTTGATAAAATTAATATTTTTAACCTGTGTCTATAGCACTGGTATTTTTTCCAAAGCTGATGATTGTATATATGGTAGCCTATGCTTGAAATTACATTTAAATACGACACTCATCTTAAATTGTCGATAATTTCATTCATAGCAACTGTAATTTGATCATTTTTGAAATAGTTTTTGCTAATTCTGAGCATTCCTGTGAGGTAGATCTAAGACTTTAAATGGAAATATGTTGATGTTTTAGGACAACAATTTTTGTCTCTAAATTCTTTATCAGCCTTGTTAACATAAATAGACCAGCGAGTGTTTCATTGTGATTAATAACTGTTTTTTTAGACTATTTATTAAAGTAGGTAGAATAGTTCATGCGTACCTAACATAGCTCATATATTTTTTTCTAATAATTTTTTTAAATTTGTGATGAAAATACCTCTTGAAGTAACTGCTCTCTCGTGTAAGGTGAAGGCACCCTCGTGACACTTCCTGTTCATTTTCAGCCATTTCAGCTTGTCCTGCCAGCAGAAGTCAAACCTGATAGCAGTTCTGCTAAAAGATCTCAGACAACTGGGCATTTGGTAATCTGCATGCCCAAGGTAGGTGATGTCACTCGCTGGGGCGTAGGCAACTTGTCCTACGAGTTCTTCCGTCTACAGCCCTCCCTCCCTCCGCCGGCCAGAGCGTGGATGGGAGCTGGCTTTCGTGAATCACGTGGTTCTTCCAAGTGGGGCAGGGACCTGTGAGCATGTCTATTACACCGCGGTCATACTTGCCTTACAGATAACTAACTGTGAAGGAAGACAAAGCAGGTCTTGGATAACTAAGAATGTGTTTGAATTCCAAATGCTGAGCTTACTAGTTTTGGGACTTCGGGCCAATTACGAACCTTCCTAGGCCTAGGCCTCTGTGTCCTAATATCATTCTTAAGAGAGATAATACACGTAAAATCCAAAGCATAGTGAGTACCCAATAAATACTGCTATCTTTCCTATTATTTTATGATATGGACAAGATATTATTATAACTAAAACTCTTTTTCGGCTGTCTTTGCGGGAGAGGTGGTAGAGATTATTTTTGATATGAATCAGAGAAAGAGACACAGAGCTCTTTCCTGTCGCCATGGAGTGGAAGCTCCTCTGGACTGATGGAGCCGATTTAGCTGAAGAGCCCAACAAGCCTTGCTTGGCTTAACCCTGGACAATCGAACCAGCCTCTGCCAAAGAGATGGCAGTACTTCGTTTAGTTTCTATTATTTTATATTTGGTCACCGTTGCGTCATGCTGTGAGCTTGGGCTGTGGTCGACTTTGCGCAAGTCACTCAGGCTTCCAAGGGGAGGAAGAGATAAGCCAGTCCAAGTGAGGTTCTGCTTGTGAGGAAGAACGGGAGGATGGAGGCAGGCGTGTCTGCTCAGAGCCCAAACCCGATTAACCAGTAAGGTTTCTATAACGATTTAATAATCCTTCATTTGCCCCTAGCCAGTTTTGCAGCAGATCGAATACGGGTAAGCAATTACGTATTTTTACCGAGGCAATAAAACAGCAAATACAATTTGTTGTCAAGCAAAAAAATAAACACAACTGTAAGAATCGTATTGTCCTTGGTGACTGCAACAAATTAAGGAGATGCTTCTATGCTAATGAGAATATCCTGTAGAGAAATCTAAGAGGTAACTTAATTACCTCCGTACTTTGATATAGACATGTGTATGACACTACAATCAGCAGGTGTTTTGTTTTGTTTTGTTTTTTTGGAAACTTCCAGTCTAACTGAAAAGCCAAAGATGGGATGGTATGTATCTTCTAAAAGGAGATCAAGACATGATTTGTGTGCCTAGTGCTGGTGCCAGGCAATTGATCAGGAAGCCTTTGCTGTCACTGCTTATGAATCTTTTAAATAAACACAGCATTCTTTTTCCATTATCCTTTTTGTTTTTATATCTGTCTATATTTTTCATGTTAAATACACATAAAAAGTATAAAAATGATATATCTCATAATGTATGTTTTTCTATGTATTACTCTTATGTTCAAGTTTTTTTTTTTTTTTGTAGTTTTTTTCTCTATAGCTGCTATGTATTTTCTGAAGTTTATTTACTGATTTTATTTCCACTTTGAGTGAGGTTATTCACCTATCACACTTTCTGAGTTTATGCTTGGCCTTCAGTATGTGGTCAGACTAAGTTATGTGTACATAAACAATTACCATCACCAGCCTGGGAAGACATGACACATGATCTCATCACAGTCCATCTTAACAAGATTTAACTGAAATTTCTCATTCACTGAGAAGCTTGCATCTCATCATTAAATTAAACTCCCATCTAGATTCTCAATTGACATGTTACAGGAACACTCCAAGAATATGCTTCATGATTTCCTTCGGGTGTTCTTGCAGAATAATTAACTGAGATTAAGGAAGTTGCCATGTGAACTGAACAGCAAAATATATTTACACCTTCGGTCGGTGAATATCTGCATTGAGCACGGATGTAAAAGTCACCTATTAAGGTCAATATTACAGACCATGATTCTAAAAAACAGTCTCAGACTCCCTTCTTATTAGTTGGACACATATTTCTCAGTACTTTCTATTCAGGTATGCTTATCATACGCCCGCTGTAAATTCTCTTTGAGTCTCTGATTATTAATTTCTAGTGGGTCTGTAGTGAGGGCTGCCCGGTTGTCTGGCGAGATTGTCTTGTTCCATGCATACTTCTACTCCCTTTCTACAGTATTTCTCATCTTCAGCTCGTTCCTAAAACTTCCAGCTGGAAAAATAGAAGCATCCGAAGTTGATTTCCACGTGCTTCACCCACCACATCTTCCCTCGCTTGGCCTTCCTTCCTGATGGCTCCAGTGAACTGTCTGTGATCTATCCAGGCTTTCCAGATGTGTGTTGCATCCTTTTTCCACTTGCTTTGAAAAGACCATTTCCCCGCTCTGACAGTTCTCCATTCTCTCTACAGCTTCATTCAATTTCCCTTCTCTGCATCTTATATTAGAAAACATGCTGAATCATCTCCCTTCTTAAAAACAAAAACAGAACAAAATAAAAACACACGCCTCTATTTATCGCCCTGAGCTGCTTTACAGCAAAACCCTTAAAACAGACATTTATATTTGCCTTCTGTTCTTTCTCATATTCAGGCCTCTGAAAATTGGCATGTCTAGTCATTCAATTCTGGGCCCTGTGTCTTCTCTATTTATACTCATCCCTGCATGATCCCTTCTAATCTCATGACTTTAAATAACATCTCTAGAGCCCCATCATCACTAATTGCCAAGTGGGTAATTGGGAACAACAAGCACACTATGGAAAATTTAGGAAGATGGGCTACATATATTAAAAACATCTTAATAATATCAATACCTATTAAAACAGTGAGCAATTACTGTCTACTGACCCAGAAGGAATGTCTGAGAGGATAAACCGTGCTTCCGGTGACCACACAAGGGTGAGAAGGAAAAAGTCAAAGTTGGGAGCCCACTGCGCTGGGGGCTCTAGTGTGGCGCTTCCACTTCGGGATGCAACTCTGAGGGACTGCGTAACTCATGAGTGAGGTGGACGAGAAGCCAGCCGATCCTCAGAAGTTTTCGCAGCCTAATCGGCTAGTGAGATGGCCTCCAAACTGGGCCTTGAACTTGAGTGAAGCTGGTTTTAGATGAGTACTACTCACAAATGCCACTCAAAACCCAGTGAAATCCTCTCCAGGAGAAGTAAACATCAACACTGGACTCAAATTATTGACAGGTAGATAGATAGACTGATTTTCTTTTTTCAAGTAAGTGCCCAGCACACATGGTCAAACTAGGCACTTAGAGACGTGAGTGGGGCCCAGTAGAAACCCAGTGTTTTGGAATCTGGTCATGCCAGGTTGCTGCTCTTCCTCCCGAGTCCCACAGTTATTGTATAAGTATTAAATCGTGAGATGCTGTTTTACTTTGAGGTTTCCCAGAAGCAGAACCTAATGCAGGGGCATGAGTACGTGGTTTGCTGGGAGGTAAGGGGATGCTGTGGGCAGTGGGGAAGGGATGGCAGCCAATAGGCCGTGCTCAGCCGAGCCAGCACCCCAGCAGGAAGGTTCTAGGAGACAGTGCAAACGCACTGCCTGAGAGGTGATGGACTGGGGTGGTAGTACACTAACCCCTGAGACTCTGGTCGATGGGAGGTGCTGCCCCCTGCTGTCAGGGCGAAGGTGAGGGTGGTATAAACACCCCAGGACTTCTGAACTGATGCTGGCATAGACCAAGCAAGATAATCATGACCTTTTTCATATGAATGGAGGATATGCCCAACTGAGACTCTCTCTAGCAAGATTGTAAAAGGATATTTCTTTAAAAAAAAAAATCATCATCATCATCCTTGATGTTTGTGGGTAATTGTCCATGGGACTGTAAGATGAGATTGTGCTTCGCAAGCATGAAAGGATTTTGAAGAAACCATTGTTAGTTAGATGTGTTCCACTTTTATTTTAAAGCCACGTCACTGTGTTTTGTAACTTATTATTGATTTTACATATAAATATCAATAATTGCACTTTTTAAAATTTTCTCAGACAATTTGGGTTGCTTTTGGAATCAACACCAGTATTCTCATCCTTATTTTTTAAATTGTTTTTCAAAATTTAAATTGTCTTTGCTGCCAAGTATGTGTTTATTTGAGATAGAATATACTTCAGAAATGTTTGACTTATACAGGTATTTTTAT